AAAAAAAAAAAAATGCTGCCTTATCTCCAACGCAGGGCGTGTTACCTGACATGAAATACTTGTGCAGCCACTCTTCTTCTTGATCTTCAAACATCTTTCTAGCTTCTCGCCTGAGGATGTTTTGAATCTGCGCAAAAATTTGACTCCACTGCTGTAGTGCAAGCTTCCTTTGTTTAGCATCGCGACAGAGGTGGTCAGGGATGTGAGAGCTTACTGGCTGAAGGACATAGGTTGGCGGTACTGCGTTCATATCACATTTGAACCACGTCTCCAAAACTGCTTTCTCCTCCTGGTCTGTCATGTTGCTGAGGAGTTTCTCAAATTCAGTGGAAGGTATTTTGGATGGAAGCGGACGAAAACCATACTTTTGGCCCAGAAAGGTCTGATAAAAATAGCAAAAACATTTCAGGGTCTTGAAGGGCAAGGGGGAGCGAAAACTTCAGTCGCAAAACGATAAGTTATATACACAACAGACAAAACTTTGTAAAGAATAATTTCCCTTCTCAAGGACCAAATGAACGAACGTTACAGCTATGGTCCTCTGAGGAGAGTAGAAATCCTTCAAGCCGGTGGCTTTCTTCTAACGCAATGAGGCTAAAGGCTGACTTGTTGAATGCGCGCTTTTACTTGACTGTGTGTCATTTGAAGAATCTTTGTCAAAATTTGTTTAAAAAATGGGGAAAAGGAGTCAAAAACTCGATGAAAAAGTACTGACTTAACGCTATATACTAGACAAATAATGTGCATCTCTAATCGAGGACGTTATTTATTTTGTCCCAAAAGCCTCTAGCTGTAGTACCAGTTGCTGAGCGTCTAAGAGTTGGCCTCGCCAGAAGATACAGGACATGTAGGGCTATCTAAAAGGGCACCCTTTTCGACGGCCTTCAATAACGAAGCAAATTTAGTCTATTTACCACAAAATTAGGTCCAGTGGAAAGGTCCTGACACGCCTTAAGTTCCTTTAAACACAGCTCTAGTGTAGAATGATCATCTGTGGACTCATCACGTACTCCCCAACGCATGTCAACCACCTGATTACAGAATACGAATGCACAACAACCAATTACTGATGATGCCGTCAACCACCTTCATAAAATGAAGTGACTGGAAGAGCTACTGAAGACGCTTAAAAAGAAAGTAGCAACTACGTAGTCTCAAAACACAAAAAAAGGTCAAACTATCGATTTACATGGTTTGTTAGCTAACGCTTTGAACAAGACTGTTACCGTGCCAGTGTCCAAAACACAAGGAATGTCAGCGGGAACAAAATTAGGTAAATAAGAAGAAGTTCCCGTCGTTTCGACCGACCTGAAACTCGTAACCTTTCTCCTGTGCAAACTCCTTCAGTCTTGGGTAGATCCTCTCCATCAAGGCATTTCTTTCAGCCGCCATGTCTAAATATTTAAACCATATCAAAGTTTCGCAAAAATGAATTCATCTCTACTTTGCCACCTTGCTTCGAGTTAAGAAATTTCTGGGGCAAAATAGTCTTCCATTTTGCCTCCTTTCTGATGTAAATCCCAGTGGCGGATCCAGACCTTGAGCAAAGGTGGGGACGGGGGGCGGTTTTGTTTTGCTTACCCTGCCGGCTTTTCTTCCTTCTGTGATTTCTTCTTTTTTACCCAAAATAACGGGGAGGGGGAACTGGGAACCCCGGGCACCTCCCTTAGATCCGCCACTGAATCCTCTATTGTAAACACTTCGGCCAGTGGCTGAGTCATGTTTTTTTGAAGATTTCCAATGATTGCCGCTTAAGTCCACATCCTACAGAGAAATCATTATTCTGCATTTCCTGCTCGTGGAAGTAGACAAAATAAATAGATAAATAATTTTCAATCTAAATATATAGATATCTGATGTCAGAAGAATGAACCTGTAAACGTAGAGCTGGTAAATATCCGAATGATCTTGGCCTTAGCAGTTAAACGTTGTTCCAAGTCTCCACGCATGACTCTCCTATGCCGAGCCGAAAGTTCGGGAAACTGGTGTAAAGTGCTCTTTGTAGCTGCCGAGGAAACCCTGGAGCCTGAGGATGGACTGTCATCAAATATGACTGAGCCTGGTGACAAGGTCGAGTCTTCATTTGTTCTGCTGTCAGAATCAACTGACACCCTAGGGGAAATAGATAAACCCAAATGACGTTCGTAAGTGAACGATTTAACAGATTTATGTCCGAGAAAAAAAAAATGAAGTTTTAAGTTGGGAAATCAATGTGACTATTGAACTCTTTTTTAAAAACAAATGAAAACGGCCAACCTTGTAGTGATGACAGGTGCATTTTCAAGCTTAATCTGCTTCAGAGATTTCGTACACACTGCACCCATCTGAAGTGTTCCTTATATCAATATGAGGCAATACATACTTTTTCTCTCACTGAAAAGTTCTGAAGAGAAGAAGGACAAACTTACTAACGTATTGTTTTTATCGTACAAAAGCGTTTATAAAATTATTTGTATGCTAAGTGGTTTGTCAAGATGAACTGAAAAAGTGGTATTGGCGTTGCTTTGTATCCCTCGCGATTTACAAAAATTTCTTTGGCTTTAGAAAGAGTCACAGGTGAACAGTTCATTCTTTTTATTCCTTTATTTACTCTCATCCTACTAGCTGGATGGTATGCTCCTTGCTGTGCACCTCAACTTTGTCTCAGTCCACTTAAACGGCCTTAGTCAGTCATACCTTTGGTTTTGTTTACATGTGGGAGTTTGGCTATTATATTTTATTCGGAGAAGGAAATCATTGTAAAAGAACAAAAGATAATTAAACACACTTTCAGGAACACAACTTAGAGTAAAGCAATAAGATTTCGCTTCACCATGACATATCCGGCAATAATTTCGATGGCATCGAAAATGACGGAGGCTGACTAGGGTCCCTTAAACAACAGCAAAAAAACAGTAACAAATATACCATTATGAATATCAATTGTCGAGACAGCCATATCCTGCTTTACTGTTAAAGTATCACTTTCCCGGGCAGGTTATAGAACTTCGGGCGAAACATCGAGCACAAATGAGTTTTCATCTGACTTCATTTTCATGCAAATCAAACTCTTGATCACAAAAAGAGATGATGCAAACTGACCGCCGTGACAATTTACCTTGTTTGTTACACCCGGGGTTACCATTCCGTTATACATCATTTTGTCCGCAGGAATGAGAACTCTAAATAAGCAAGAGCCGATCTTGCGTAGCTGTCCAGTGTTTAATATAAGCCTGTATATTACTTCAAATGCTTTCTGATATCCACCAGGTTTTGAGTTATATGCATTGTTTTAAGGCGTATAAAATATCGTGAAAATCAACGGGTAGGTGGGAGGTGCGGAGGAGGGACGTGTAAACACTCTACATAAATATTGAATGCCATTCTACTATTTTTCTGTTTCTTCGCATCCTCTAAGCACCCTTAAAGTGGACGAAATTTTACGGGAGTAAATAACATAAAGGAAATATTTGGACCGCTGACGTTGCGGAAAAAATAAAAATGGTCTCATTTTTTGTTATTGCTTGCCTTCGATGAATTGTTTTATTTACGCACGTAAAGTCAACACTGACAGTTATCAGGGGAAACGGGCATGACTTCAAGACATTTCAGAAAGCTGACAGGGCCGAGAGAGGTGATAAGGTGTAATATTAGTATAGATGTATCTGGACGTTACGGGTGGTTGGAGTTGCACTGCATGCTCCGTGTCACGATCTAGCATATGTATGACGGTGTGTATTTAGATTTTGTGTGTCCTAATAACATCTTCACCTTCCTACCGATGCCAATGGGTTTTGCGAACGACCGGTTATTCTATTAAACGTGCAAAGCTAAATGTAAATACACTGATCAACCACTAAACAGACAATGAGAAGTGATACTGAATGAATAATCTAATTTTTACAAGTAAATCTCTTACCAGAAGGCGTCGATGTCCATGGGGTGTTTATATCTTTAACTGTTCGTCCAGCACTCCGCCTGTACCGGAGTAGTACAGCATTTCATGTGCGTAGTATATAGTAATCCATTGCATTCAGGCCTATTCAATTCGAGCGCTTGCGTTATGCAAATATATGTATGTCAGATTACTTCTGAACACAAGACCTGTTGCTTGGCAATATCAAGTGTTTATTATGGCTCCTGGTGTTTATCACGTACTGAAGGTATTTTGACGCAAGAGGCCTGTGGTGCTGAATTAATTATACAAAGAAATTTTGGATCGCTAAAGCTACTCGTATTAAAATTTTTGATAGTTTTTGTACATTGTGAGTGAGGTCAACCTTCAGTGAAAGTAATGTAGTAAAAAGCACATAATTCTTCATCACTTTCCCGTTGAAAAAAGTATAGAGAAGTAGTGACATACTGATTTAGATTGTTATTTTAATATAAAAAAGGTGAAAAACATTGGTTTTTGATAGGATGGTAAGAGACTCAGAGAACGGGCAATATTTTGAAATGGTTTATAATTTACTTATGTAAAACTCTCTCGCGCATATGTTAATAACGAAAATAATTGCATATAAGAAAAGCAAGCATGTGGTATTTATTTATCTCGGGCTGTTCCTTAGTAAAACTCTCTGACAGAACTGTGGACTCACACCTGTTTTCCCACTGAGGATGAGATCTTCTCAGCCGATGACCTACGAACCATTCGGCTCTTGCTTAGCTATCAGCAAATTTTGCAAATCCGAGAATCAAGAAATCATTGAAAAAAAAACGCATTTTTCAGGTGGCAGTTCAAATTCTCATACAGCTATCGGTTAAACTCCATCCAGACACTCTTCTAGACGGGAGCAAGAAAGTAATTAGTTCTGATTTCTTGATTCGTCAATTCGTTCAACCTGTTGGTCGATTAACTAGATTAACTCTTGAGTAACAACTGAATATTTGACACACTGGTGACATGGGTATAATCCATTGTAAAGAGGAGTGGGGTAGGAGTGGGGGAGGAACATCTCTATCTGTTCCTGTGTGTGTAGCCGGTCGTCCTGGTTTCTTCACATCTTAATAGGAATAATTCCGACGCAAGGTGGAGCATTAGACTTTACAGCCAGTATCGACCAGCCATGCAATATTCGCTTATAGCTGGGCAACAGAAGTCCTAGTAGAGCCAAGTGTTTGACTTTGTAAACTACCAACTGGTTAGCCTTCCGATCAATCTGCAATATTTACTGTATCCCCAATTAGGACCGCACTGTTCAACCCTTAACATGAAGTATTTATCTACAGTGGAATCGCGATCTGATTTCTCGAACCCTCCTCCCGATAACTCGAACCAAAAGTCGTTTCCCTCTCCTCAGTCGAACACTATATTTTTATCCCGAGTTTTCGAACCAATTTTCGTTTCCCTTGGAGGTTCGAAAAATCGGGATTTCACTGCACTTTTTTTCAGTAAGCTGATTTTGTTTCCATCGCTTCAACTTTCATTGCCACATGCCCAGGTCTCAGAGGATGTGATAGATACCATGAGACAAACCAAGTGATTCATTCTTTTATTACAAAAAAAAACTTATCGCCGTTACAAAATATCGTAGTTAATTATTACTCTATTCTGCGAACCGATTATTGACAATTGATATCACCAGTAACGACGCGGTTTTTTACTTTACCAATTAGATCTAACTACTGTCCTACTTATTAAAAAGTACATTCTAAGCAGCCATATGCAGCACTAATGAATCCTTATTCAATATATTATTACGATACGCCACGTTTAAAAATACCTGTCTATGGATAGAGCGAAAAATATGCTCGTCGTAATTCTGGCAATGCTAGTACTCTGCCAGAATGATTACAGGAGAACTTTTCATTGTGCACTGAAGGTTCCCGAATTATGCATCCGTGTTGTGATGTGTGGGTTTCAACAGACAAACCCGTGTAATCGTTGACTAGTCATAGTTCCAACTTTCATTTTGTTTTAGTTTCAAAATCTTTAGTCCATTAAATAGCAAAATCATCCCTAATGAAAGTTCAACCATCTTAGACTGCTTTTTCTTTCAGCGGATTTAACAATGCTTCTGAGCGAAGGAAATTTCTAATTAAGTTCTACATAATTAGAAGGGAAGAGACCTCGAGCGCCATGACACGAGCCCATCCACCATCCCTCATCTACTTCCTCAATGTCGGTGATGATGTCACCGGGATCAAATGTTATCTCGTCCTCCGCAGCTAGGAAATAAATCACAAGAGTCACTCCTTATTGAGCATTTAAATCGATATATTTAGACAGGAAGATACATCATCTATATCCTGGTCCAACTGGAATTTTGAGATGTTGGTTTTTGTGGAGGGCGAAAAACCGAAGAACCGGGAGAAAAACGCGAGAAACAACAAAGGAAAGGCGCGAAAAACAACAATAAACTCGACCCACATATGGCCCCGGGCCGGAATCAAACTCAGGCCACATTGGTGGGAAGCGAGCGCTCTCGCTGCGCCATCCCTGCTCCCCATAGAAACCTGACCACAATATTTATTTGGCAACAGGGATAATTGGCCTGTTTAGCCGATGCAGACAGCTGTCGGCAGCCCACTGAACGGAAGAAACAAACCTACCTTACCTTATAAGAAACACTATTTCGTTATGGATACGAAGAACATCAATGGAAACTTACTTGCTTGATAGTCGTACAATGCTGTCGCACTCTTCCCGGTACCGCGTTCTTCAGCCTGCAAAAACAACAAGAGATAGTTCTTTTGGATGCTGGGGTTTATGAATGACGTGGCCTTCACTGGAGGATGGGAGACAATACTTGGAAGAGCGATTCTAAATAACCCTACAATCCTGAATATTCAAAATAAAGAAATAACATCCAATGAAAAACATGGACAGTGGTGTCAAGATGTACCTCTTCCTGAGTAGTTTCCTGCGGCTGAGTAACTTCCTCATACAAATCTGTGGGCTCAGACTCTTGCATGGTTGGTTCGCCTGCTTCCTCGTATACTGCTTCCGGTTCTGGTTCGGCTTCTTCATACTCTTCTTGTTGTTCAGCTTCTTCCCGTCGCCGAGCCTCTTCCTCCGCCCGACGTCGTGCCTCTTCCTCTTGATTGCGCGCTTCTTCCTCCTGACGGCGCGCTTCCTCCTCCTCAGCCTCCTCTCTGTCACGCGCATCTTGCTGAAAATGTCAATATTTTGTAAGAACACTTTCATTAACCACTAATGAGCATAAGCAGGGACACTTCTGTTCAATTAAATTCTGGTTAATGATTAAGAGTTTTCCTTTGTGTTTGTTTGAATTGGGATGGAGGTTCGTTTCATACCTCTGCCTGCCTTTTCTCATTGATCTCTTTCTCTCGTTGTTCTCTAGCATGTCGACGAGCTTTTTCCTCCTCTGCTCGTCTTCTATTTTCCTACAAAAGTTAATAATTTCAGTATCACAGTACAGTGTACACGCATGTCTGTTTCACAGAAGGCAGTACACGTGGGAAAGACTCCTGAAAAGCTAACAAACCTCATCTTGTTCTTTGGCCAAGTTTTCGAACTTTGATTTCAAGTTGCCTGCAGCCCCTGAACCTGTGAATCATATAACACAGCAGGTAAGGTACTGTTTTCTGCAAACAGTCCCGAAAATCAGGCTGATCTACAACCACTGCTATACCCTCTCCTACCTAGCCTGCGAAAGGACGGGAAAAAAGAGCGCGAAACTGAAGAATTCGGAGAGCGAAGTGATCGGGGTGGGCGGGGGAGCCTCCCACGCTTCGCTCGCCCAATTCCTTTTTTTCGCGCTCGCCGGGAGCCTGTTCGCAGGCTATCCCCCACGCCCTGCTCGTTTTTGATTTATTGGTTATTTTATTGAAATTTCAATGTAGCTCCTCCAACCTGCTCGTGGCTTTGCTGTGTGATACGTCGATTTCACTTCTTGCATTTCATCATAACTGCCAGCGGACTAAAAAGCAAGAAAAAAATTAATTAATATTATACTGATTACGACCTGACAAAGAAAACGTCTTTCATGGCCGCACACTAAGTGTACCATCTACCCTCTAATCATTTCTACTCTCTTTGATCGGCTAAGAAGTAAACGGAACAGAGAAAAATTACAGCTAAGGCGTCTTAATTCAGATGTTGACGATGTTTGTGCTCACTGGTGATCCCACTTACCGCATCTTGTCTGTCAGATTGAACACCATACTTGCCACCAAAACCTTTAGAGTAATCTGCAACGGACATGAAAAAAGCAGTGTATTAAACTAAGCTGGCTTAAACATAGTATTGTCAGACACAGTTGACATTTTTATTTACCTCAGTATTAAACAAGCCAAAAGCTAATTTACCAAGTAATGACACATGCAAGTTAAAAATCATTCCACTAACCTTTCTGAGAGGCATGTACCTCAGTTTTGCCTTCATAATTGTAGTCAAGAGCAGACTTGTGGGATAAAAAAACACAATCAAATAAATGCATAAATCTGTTCAGAAAAAATCTTTCACAGCTCATGACAGACTGTACTGACCTTATCGACTCTTTCCTTTTGGACTCCATATTTTCCTCCAAAGCCTTTGGAATGATCTGGAAAACAGTGATAAATAAGATTGTATTGACAAAAGGTTTACATATAAGTCTCCATTTGAGGCTAGTAGACCATTCAATACTGTAGGTTGGCTCTTCCCTCCAGTTCCAGTATTGTGAGGCAAGTAGGAGCATTTCTACTCCTCCTGGATGGTAAACTAGCATGTTGCAGGGAATAATACTAGAGCACCCATTCCTAGACCTGGGGCAAGAAAGGCACTCTAAGACTAGTGTCCTGCCAAAGAACATAAAAAGATGATCCTGGCCATGGATGGTCAATGATTGAACAGAAAATCAGCCTTCGTCTCTGTCTTTTGTACATTAATCCATTAAAACTCTGCAGTTTGCATAAGGTTACAAGTTTGTTTGTCTGTCCACTGTGTGAAATAATTACTTTTTTAAAAAAACGATTCCAAGAAAAAGTTGTATATTTACATCAAGACTAGGCAAAACATCTTTTCTTGCATCCAAAAGTTGCAACTAATTCACTTAACACAAAGCCCTGGTAACAGTGTCAAAATAGAATAAAAAATATTGT